AATTTCTCCTCCTCCTGCAATTCCAACTCAGGGATTTATTTGCGTGCTGACTGATGTATATGGGGACTTATACACATATGTTAATAGATTCAAAGAAACAAAAGCATGGAGTTACATTTTCAAACAGTATTAGCCTAACAAACTAGGCACGGACTCTCACACAGCTGGCATGCATCAGCAGCCAAACTCTACACTCGGTTACATTCATGTAACCCCACCCAAATCAGCATAACTGAGAAACTGGTCCATTGGAATAAACTTGCACTGTCTTGGCCTTGAGCTGTAAGAGCTGGCCAGAATATCTGTACATGAGCAAACACTACCATATCTACGTTTTAAGATCAGTTCTATGTTGAATACTCCTAAACCAGCCATTTTTCTCGGATTCTGACAGATTATTCATGTAACGCTACAGAAGTACATCTACATGGCAAATTGCAAATACAGCAAACATCATTTGCCCGTGCTCCAAGCCAATGCAAGGCCATGTGCACCCCCATGAACAGCACTGAGTCCGTGGTAATGGTGTGGGGTCTGTACTGATACAACCTGCTTATTAAGCCTGTGCTGAGCAGTCACAGCTGCTTCTGCTCAGCTACCTCTATCCGCTCAAGTGCCGGCACATCAGTTGTATCTGTGTACATGTGATAGACACAAATCCCGCATATCCCTGAGACACTCTGTTCTGAGAATCTCAATTTCTAACCCTGTTTTCAGGGACAAAAACCTGGCGCAGGGGGTGGAGAGGAGGAAGAGCCAAATTCCTCACAGAACTTTGGAGCCAGCTTCCTCACTAAATATCATTCTGGCTTCACTACAATGCCTCCCACCACAAGAGTCTGGCTGCAAAGAATACTGTCTCTCCAAAGCCCAAGAGATTTACCCAGGATTTTTCCAATCGTTATCTGTCATTCTGGATGACTGGTGAAATTGCTTGAACCCTCAAGATACTGCAGTGCTGCTAGAAAAGTCAGGACACTGGCTGAACTCAACAGGGAGGTGAATAGAGTTGGATAAAATTTACAGAGCAACTCTACCACAGACACGCATCAGCATCTGTTGCCTGATGCGTGGGCTATGTGCTCTACTGATTTTACCTATCTCCACTTTCCATTTCTGACAGCTTTTGGTAACAGCAGAACCCAAAGCTGACAAACATCCTTCATCCCGACAGCTCCGGCACCCATTTATCTGAGGAATCAAAGAGGCTGTGGCGATGCCTAGGTAAGTACTGCATTTCATATGCCAGGTTGGCAATGTTCTTTCACTTCATATAAAGTACAGATGTATTTTAAACTCTCTTTCCTCCATTCTACAAATAACTCTTTTTGGAAGAAAGAAAATTATTCTCCTTCATTTGCTGTTACCTCAGTTTTAAGAAAAAAAAGTGTGAAAGACACAAAAATTAGCCAAAAAAGCCAAAAGGCCATTTTCAGAATACAGCAACAGCAAAGTACACTGAGTGTTGGTTTCACTTACCTTAGCTTTTACTACAGCTATTCAAGTAAATCCTTTCTCAATGGCTTATTGATTGCAAGTTTGATGATTCTCTTGAATTCTAACACCCATAGACTCGATTTTACAATATCAATGGGAATACATAAAAGCCACACACTGCAGGATAAATGAATTAGTACGGTACCGTTATCTATTTACCAGCCACCAGCTGCACTCACACACTTGCACTGCAGGTGGCCAGCGGCATTTAAAGCAGAAGAAAGCTTCATTTCTCTACTTGTAATCATACTTCACAATCTGAACCACACATATTATTTAAATAATCTTCCAAAGAATGCTATGGAGAAGAAGAAAAAAAGTATCACTGGATAATTACACCTATGTCTGTGTTTAATATGAAAACAGAAGTTCCGTAACATTAAGAGACATTTCCTGCCAGCACTGGTGGCACCCTGGAGCTCAAGCTTGTGCAGCCTGCCAGTCGCCGTAGGTGGCACTCTCACACCATCTCCCACTGTCTTTGGGGCAAAGAACAACAAAAAACCCCACTGTTTCAACCGTGGTTTATCTATAGCAAACACATTCAACACCCATTTTAAGGAAAGAGCCGCAGCAGCGAAGATAGCTATCAGCACATCGCCTTCCCATTCCTAAGTGAGCAATCTATATTTCTGTCATCAAACACAACTGCCTGGGCCCCTGGCCTCTCAGCTCAGGTGGTCCATGAGTTATCTCACTTTTACGTTTACTCAAACTCATCATGGGCAGCATTACACATTGCTAAGAGCCCCATAAGGTATACATTCAATGACAAAAACATTCCTGTGATCCTGAAAAATAAGAGACTGAGCCATCATCAGTGAGACAGTGAAAAACAACGCTACAGGCTTTTGCAACTACAGTTAACTGGTAGAAATTCCTGATTCCATCAGGCACCAGTTGAGCAACTGGTAATTTAGGTGGTTTTCTGCTAATTGGCCTACTGTTTGGTTTTTTTTCTGAAGGTTAGCATGAGCAAAGGAACCCCAGAAAGCCGTCTGTAACTGTCTGTCCCTTTCCAGGGAACACTGTAAAGCCAACAGCTCATTTGAATGAGCTTACATTTGAAAAAAGGGTGGGTTTTTCACTTTATTGATGCACTCTTCCACACAGGATTTTTTCAAAATCTACATCAAACAAGGAAAAACAAATGCTGAGAGGGCAGATTTAGGGCAATTTATCAAGGTCTGGGAAATAGCTTCCAGATGGATAGAGCTGTTTGGTGCTGGCTGGTGAGAAGGAAGCAAGGTATTGTTATTGAATTAGCATGAATCTCTGGTGGAGAACTGCGTGGTAGATAGAGTGCTCCTTTCATATGGTTTGCATTTGGACCTGTCAAATTTCATTTTTATTCAAAAACCTGTGGTAAAGACACGCAGTTCTTTTTTGCTTATTAAATTTCCACCAATTCTCCCCGTACTGTTATCCAGTCAGTATTTTTAGACTCTGCTCGAAGTGCCATGCCTGGGTCTGTTTGCTCTTTGCCATGCTTGGATGGCAGCTTGGTGCTTACGAGCCCACGAGTGGGTTTAGGGTTGATGCTCGCACACTGAATGCCACCTGAGGAAGTAGGTGAGAGAGGAGAAAAGCTGGATGCTCTAGGAGATGTTTAAACTGAGTCACTTCAAGAGTTTATCAGAACCTAAGTAAAACTATGCATACTGAGGTCTAATGTACACTAGAAAGTGATTGCTAATATAACTAGAGGATTATTCTTGATTATTCTTTTAATAAACCCTCCCTTTGTAAACATGTCTTCTAGGGGTATAAATGCATCTATGTTAGTGCATTTGCTAATGCAGAAATATTATTAAAAAAAAGAAGAAAAAACTAAGGAAAAAAAATACTCATAACAAACACATTTCTGCTTTGAACTACCTGGATATCTGTTCCACAATATGTGGAAGACATACACAAAGATTTATGTATTTTCCTACTAGTTTTGAAAACTTTTACTTTTCAAGTTATCCCAACAGTCACCTAGTCCCATCTGAAGAATTCAGCCTAGTTTGTGTTAAACATCAAATAAAATGACTGTTCCATTAACCTGAGGAGATAAACAGCCACAGTTTCCCTCACTGCAAAGACAAATCAATTGTAACCAAGTAGTTAGTTTCAGTTGAATGAATTTTTGACAATGTGGTCTTCTAAGATCCTAGAAAAATTGCTGATTGATACGCCGATGGGTAGAAGGATTTTTAATGAGAGGAAATTTCCAATGGCTTTTTCAATTATTTAGGAGAGTTGTTATTATTCTTGAGCACCAAGCGTGGGGGCACTGGGGTGAAATAAGAGAAATGAGCTTTACATCTTCCCTTTTCCAATGTTTCAGGGATCTATGACAATTATTCTGTTACCATCTGGGGTGTATCCTAGGCAAACAGAGAAGGGAAACAGTGATATCATCAGAACCAACTAATTCCTAAATCCTACCTGAAATGTAAGACATGTATACTTGTGCTCACATCCCACACGTATGTCTGGTTTTGCCTTTTTTTCCCCTATAGTTCTTATTACTCTGTGTTTTATGAGCATCTGCTTCAACTGACCAAGACTCTTGTAAGAAATATCCAATGAGGCAAATAAAATCACAGTCTACAGGATGCAACCTACTTCTTTGCCCATAACATCCGATCCCCCTCAGGCTATGAACAGATCATATGCCTCATTTATTACTTATACTTAATCCTTCAGCTACTGACTACTGAGCTAGGTTTCCAGTTATATCAACTCTGAAACAAAGCCCTGGTAGCCTTAAGCTCTCACGATGCAGTGTTAACAATGGGAGTTACACATCACTACTGAAGAAATTGCATTCTTCAATGACACGATTTTCCGATTTTCAAATGTGTTATCAAGAATCTGACACTGCATACTCACAACGCTTGGCATCTACAGGATTTCACATTTGCAGATGACTCTATGGACTTTAATGCTCAGAAATCAGAGGCAGCTGAGCTAGTGGTTGTGTCTAATCAGTTATCGCCTTTCTGCTAATCAGTCTGTGTGAGATGGATGTAAGCTAGCAAGTACCAACATTCTGTCATCGTGGACTAAACTGGCCCTTAATTCTCATCTGAATTGCCTCCCCTTTGGCGTGGCAGCTTAGGAAATGGTTATCTTGTTGCTGGCAAGAGAAAGGAAATGAAAAGGAAGGTAAAACCAACTTGCCGTTTCATATGGCTATCTACTTCACAGAATCAGAGTGCCCAAGGTTAGAAGCAACCTCTGGTCGAACCACCCTGCTGAAAGTAGGGTCAGTGACAGCAAGTTGTCAGGGAGACCTGGATAGTCATGGCACCGAGAGAAAGAACACCTTTCCTATTGCACAGGATAAATTTTGTAGTGGAGCGCAGTTGAAAGGTCACACACAGTCTGCTTGAGTAAGGAATCTTTTGAGCTCAATTGCCTGCAAAATTGACTTCTCATGGTACAACAATTAAGAAAACAGAAGGGATGGGGAACACTCTATTGCTGTTCACGTAGTTCATTTGTAGTCATACCTTGAAGCCAAAAGGGCAAGTGCATTGATAAAACTCCACTGGATCATTGTTGCATGTCCCATTGTTCTTACATGGATTGGAGAGGCAGGGGTTACACTTGGACACAACACTGATATCTACTGGCTCTGGAAAGGCAAAACACAGTGTATTAATAGAGAACTGGATTACAAAATTAATACTTCCCGTACTCACACATACATTTTTTCCTAATGCAGTATTCACCCTGTGTCGGCACAAACACACATGCTGTGGGTGCAACTTTACACAACAGCATCGGATTCCCAGGGATTAGAGAGATTTTAAGTACTTAAATCAAATGCTAGGCAAGTCTCAATGATGCTTATATTCTCCTGGACGTGCAAACATCAGCTCTGAAAAAAACATGTTGGGAATCTCCAGAGAGTGGACTTATATATACGGCTTTCAGCAATTTTTCCTTCTCTCAGTGCTGGAAATTCTGCAATAGCAACCCCTAGGGAACTATAACATGACAATTCTATGGCTGGTAACAAGAACGAAAGTGCAGATGCAACAGCAGAAATGAAAAACATGCATAAGAAAGATTTAGTTAGAGGCTTATGGGAATATTTAGGTGCAAAGTGTTCTACCATCCTTAATTTTAGCAGAGTTCAAAACTTATTTTCTTCCTGTTCTGCCCAGAAGAATGATTGATTATCAACATTCAGCTATCTCAGCAAAATGCAACAAAGACAAATCAGCAAAGATGTAAATATATGCAGGTAAATATACATGGCCATACTTAAACCATTTAATAAACCCCATTTTTTAACAGAATTCTTCCAGAGAAGTAGTGATGTTTGTGGTGAGCAGGAAAATTAACACAGACCAAAACAGTACTAAGTACTTTGGGGTACCGAGTCAATCAGTATTTTGAGATTTTACAGAAAGCTAATTTAGACAGTTATATGCACAGTTCAAGAAATGGTGATTTTGAAGTGGCTAAATTTCAAATATTAGTGAGTTAACAGCTTTTACATGTAAAAAATAAAACCTAACACTTTAAAAGGCCTTAAATCAGGCAGCAAAGAGTCTAAAATAATTTTATTTCATTTTAAAGGAAACACATTCTAAAATAACTTAAAATTGGTCTTGTGCTAATCAGAAGCAGGCACAGAGCTTCTGTTATTGCATGATAAATGATAAGAAGGAGTAAATTGTGAAACAGCCTGAAAGTGAAGAAAAGAAGCGTATACTTGATGTTAGAGGGAAGGTGGAGCTGTAGAAGGATACCAAAAACTAGGGATGTAAAAATCCCTTCCAGTCAAAGATTTGCTTTGGACCATCCCATACAAGACATAAACCCTCATTATTAACTTTGAATACTCGCACAGCACCAACAGGAGGTAAGAACATGACAGAATGGGTACTGAGGAGTCTCAACTGAAAAGCACCTGCAACGTCAAGGCTATATCCTGATCCTATACTGATGGTGGCGTTATCAGGGCCACTGACTGCGGAGTACAACATGCAATGGTCTGTTAACAGGGCACAGTTGACTGCAGAGCGCAACGTGCAATAATGAGGAAAAAATACACAAGAAGTAACAAATCCAAAAAAGTGAAATAAAAGACTGTTGTTGTCCTCTTCTATCTTTGTATTTATGTCTAACTGAATGCCATACATGTTCTTAACTTGGAGTTAGGACAGCAAGAGGAAATAACATCTGGATTTCTGGCACTGACAGGGGGTAAAATGCGACATATCTGAGCCCCTTTTGTCTTGAAGGTAGAATATATGAAGGTAGTTCCTCGGAGAGCTCATGGAACAGGCAGCAGTGCTGCTCTTCTAGATTTAGAGGTCAGTAAGCCAGATTTTGTTCTATTAATTATTTATTTCATAATACACACACGCTCATTTTCCATTTATTCCTATGGCATAGATCAAACCTAACCAATGTAGGAGCTAATAAGAACGGTGTTAGTTCCTAGCAGTTAGGTAGTTCATTAGTTTGCCCTTGTGGATTTGATTTATAAATCCATATAGCAAAATGCCCTCAGCCCAGCGCATTCCTTTCCTCTACTGCATAACTAGGAGGGCAATTTAATAAAAAGCAGAGCTGAGTTTGCATGACTTGCACATTACATACTTTTTATTTTCTTGGCTCTGCTGAGACATAACCTTCTGTGCAGTCACAGACTAAAACCATAATTTTAACAAGACAAAGCTAAACACTACTTTATTTTAATGTAAAAGTTACTGGAGGTCACAGAGGACATCTATGCACTACCTTCATACAAGCATCTCCGGGTACCAAGCTCAGCACGGGCTGACTTCTGCAGCAATGACCCAGGCTTTTAGCGGGGCTGGAGTTTCAGCCCGCCCTGAGCTCCACGCTAGCAGTACTTGAGCTAGGACTGAGTCTACACAGGCAGAAATACAGGCATATCCTTGGACACTGTGTGTCACCCCACAGAAGGTCTCGCTCTTCTGCTGAAAGGCACGTGTCACAGCTACAGCTCAGTGGCGAGAGGGGATGCAGCTGCAGGACAAACCGAGGCCGCACCATACCCTGTCACAGGTCACGCACTCGGCTCCAGCCCGAGGGTAAACCTGCACGTGACACTGTAATAAATCCTGTTGCTTTATCATAAAAAAGCATCACCGATGTCCATGCAGAATAGCACAAGGCATTGGATCTTAAACATGCACATGGGAAATGGGTCCAGTTGGACTACCAAATCATGCCTTGCTTTTTCAAAATACATCTCCTGTGATGAGAAAAGGTGAATTTTGCTAGGGCCTGGAGCTTTTTGGAGTATACTGCCACTTGTCCAGACCATCAACAGTTTCTGCTTGTCCAAGGACCATCTCCAAATCAACACTTTTTTCTCCTTTTCTATTCAGATAAAGCGAGTCATGGAGACAGCTGGGATAGTAGAAAGCTCACCAGATTTCTAGTGGACCAAACTAATATTTACATAAAAAACATACAGCTGTTCTTAATAGTCTGGATCACAGGCTTTCTTATCTCTTGTCTAAGAGTTGCTTCCTCAGTTTTGAGAGAAAGTGGGCATAACTACTGATATATCACAGTTTCAGAATGAAGAAGTCATCTAGCTTCTCTTTCTGGATTAATTTTCAGACCCCGTTTAATATGTAAATACGAACATTTTCTGTGTTCCACTTTGTGTGAAGAAGTACATTATTTGGTATTTTTAGTATTTAGGGTATATTGGTACTCCACATTTGAGAGACTATTATAAAGTCTGTAGTTCTGATAATTATAGTCAGAGTTCTGCTAGTTTTGAGACTGACATTTTAAAGTAATTAAATTATAAGGTTACAGTTATTAAAAATATTTCAAAGGCCATAAAATTCAGCTCAGGCTTGGGAACTTGTGTTCTAAACCCACCTCAACACCATCATTTGTTTGTTCAGCGGTTTAATCCCAGCCTCTATAAAATCATGCTGCCAAGCAGAACTGTAAATGTGCACGGCACTCTGAGAGACATAAAAGCAGGCTTTATGCCCTCATTTCCATTTCTAAGAGAGGCTACTGACCCATCTTTTCCACCATAAATACAGCTTCATCTTCACATACTTACTAGTAACTTAAGTGAACCTCCAAAACTTTTTTCACAATATGAATATACAGGTATATCCTAATCTACAGTCAGCAATAAGCTACTTACTTTATCCACAAAAAAAGTGTGCTCCTTATCATTTGTCTATCTGTTCTCTAATGCAGCACACTCCCTTCATTGACTACGCTTAATCATTAATAGCTGCACCTCAACCCTCTCCTGAATGAATGTACACTGTATTCAGACAGGAAACATTTTCCATAATTTATGGTTTCTGATACAGAGCTGATGAGGACAGTTTACAGATCTTCAAGTGAAAATGTACTTTTGGTAAATATTTGCTTTCCAGAATACTCAGTTTCTCAGCTTTCAAGTAAATGTACATAATAACTACAGTGCTCTATGTTTTTAGACTAACCCTTATTTTACCAAAGTTTTCTGGGGTAGGTAGAAGGCCAAAAACAATTTATTTGCTCAAATAAGTTCTAACAACATGCTAGATGCTAACTTGCCATTATATATAATCCGGTGCGAGCAATAGGAATACTAATTCCTCTGAGGTTTGCTGGTTTTCCTTCCAGCGGTGCAGTTAACTGCACGTTGTGGAAGAACACTTGAAAATGCAACTTGAATGTAATGTGATGGTTCAGAACACGAAAGCCAAACCAACTCCCCCCCAAACTCACTTTAAAACCAAAGAGCTTCCAAGAGTATAAAAATAAAGCAGTGTGTATGAGGAAAAGCAACAGGACAGAACAGAGAGCCTCCCAGTTTGCTCCTACCCTTGCACTGGAAGTGGTGAGTCGGTGTTGTGAGCAGCAGCCTGTCCACCATGGCGTCAGGCCCGCTGCAGCGGGCTATCCCGGGCTCCTTGTACCCTGCCTTCACCCACTCGGAAAGCCAGCGGAGGTTGCAATCACAGTGCAGAGGGTTGGTACCTAGAGCCCTGGTGGTGTAAAACAATTAACAACAGTTATTTTGGCTTGCAGCAAAGATAAATCCCTGATCTCATTGAGGCACATTTTATTTTATACTTTTACAGGAATCCTTTGCTTCAAAATGTGGGAAAGATCTTCTGAGTATTCAGGAAGTCTTTAGGATTTATCTTTTCCAGTATTCCCACTCTTTTCCTTTTTTCCCATCATTAGTTAGGGAGGTTGTATAAATACCTAATAACAAATCACTTTTTCAAACAATAAATCATTTTTTCAAACAATTGTGCTTGAGCAATGTCGCCTCACCAGACATATTGCTTTCATCAAATTTATCACATTGCTTTCTTTTATTTAAGTCTTTGGCCTTCATGAGCATATTCTAGCAGTGAATTGTGTAATTCAGTTTGGATCTGTTGACTCACGTTAATGTCTCCTCCCTAGATGAAACGCGCACACAGAGGATATCTCTGCTTTCAAAACTGCAGCCTGGTGTCTGCTAAGTTTGTTTATGGCTTTGAAAAGACATTTGCTGGTTAACCCATCACTTGAGTTAGGTCATATGGTTGAAGTAGATGCATTCACATAGTGTAATTATAATTCACAGAACTTTTTCATTTATCATGGAGAGCTATCCAAAAGAGAGAAAACCTTTTTACCTTAAATTTAGGTGCTGCCTTAACTCATTTGTACTATTTTTTCTCTTAAAGAAAGTGTCTTTTCAGGCAATCGGTCAATTGCAAAGTCCAGACTTCAGAAAAGTCAGTTTAAAAACAATTTTTGAAAGTGTGAAGAAATGCATGTTGGAAGTCTGAATTTATTTTGCAGAAAGTAAATGTAAGGCTTTAGCTGTACATCACCTGACTTGCCTGGGAAGAAAATTAACTCAATAAAGATTAGCATAGGGAAGAAATACTAAAGAAACCAATAACTGAAATTAGGTTTTACACTTTTCTATTTCTGCATTTTTACTATTTTTAAGATGGTATTTTAAACTCAAGCTTCTTTCAAATAAAAACATATCAGACAGGATATCAAGATAGAAACCTCAGTAAATTTGTTGATACATTTCTATTGGAGTGACTAATGAACCCACTGTGCCCTAGACAGATTCATAATGAGAGTTCATAGGTTCAAACCCTGTCTACGGCTCATTCATCAAAATTAAATGTGTACTGCAGCACAGTATTAAAAAATATCCATCCATTCCTTCTGTAAATCCATTGCTTACAATGGAAAAAAACTACTGGGTTGACTTTTTGACCCTGTAACTGTGATCAACTGGCTCACTTGTCCAAGGTCAAACAAAACGCAGCAGCGAAAGTTGGACTGAGGAATTAACTTTAGCATTGAGCAACTGCCACATATAAAATGGGAGTGGGAGGACAACAGAAAGCTAGTTACTGTGTTAAGTAACCTTTATAAACTACATTAGAAATAAAGCCGCTCTGTAGACACTAGAAATGATTACCAATAACATTGCTGTACAACTGCAGATGTATCACATGTATCTTTCTGTGCTTTTGTTTGTGCTTTTGAATTTTTTTTCTTCATTTCCAGGAACTATAGGGAATTCTTGTATTTTCATTCATGAGTTCTAACATACTCTCTCTATTTCTTTGCCCATTATACCAAAATATTTCCAGAAGGTAAAAATATTTTGTGGTGTAATGAAACACTACCAGCAGCATTTTCAAAATGATGTGCAGATACTTCTGGTCAGACACTTTTTTTTTTTTTTTTTAGGCAACTTAGAATAGAATCAATTAAACTAACTCTACTCATAATAATGTGGACAAACAGAGGAGGGGACAGCTTATTTTTATAGGTAACAAACATAAATTTGAGTGAAGATGAGATGATTCAACAGGATTAGCAATCTGAGCAGTTTATCAAAACTATATTTGACAGAAATTCCTACATCCATTACCAAGGGCTTCCTGGAGTCCTGGGAGGGCCAAGAGGTTCGTTGTGTGAGGGCAGTTTGGGAAACCGAGCCAGTTACCGAGTTGTGCGTCTGTGACTGGTGAGGACAGCAAACGCAGGAACTGACCTAACTGAGGTCTCAGTTCTACCCCAACAGATTTTGGGTTATTTTTAAGTGCTAATACATGTCATCCTTCAGTAGTGCTGTACATTTTTATCGTTGCCCTGGGCTAGACAAGGTAGTAGAGTCATGGCTTAAATAGGTGATTATTAATAGTAATAAATACTAAACAAAACCAGGGTGTCTAATACCATATACAAACCTCCCTCTGTCTTTAGTGAGGTATATCAGCTACAGAGTTTGTTATAATAGTTACATTACAACAATAGGATGTTTACAATGTGAACGAAATTTGGTGAACATTTTCCCGTAGGCTTTAAAGAGCCATGGAGAAATTGATTGAAGTATCTAGACCTCAGTTTTGTTCTTCCAATTACAAGCCAATTTAAAGCTATTCCAAAAGACTCTGACTAAAATCAATAGTTTTGGCTACGGTACACAAATATTTCTTTGCAATTCTAAAGGTTAATTCGATACCCTCCCTCTTCCCCCCACCCCAAACTGTACTGATGCCAAAGGCCCAGGCTTATCATCCTGCTCAACACCTTGGTAGTCAGCTTTCGCCAGCCATAACACCAATCCTACTCTTAGCCACACAGCTTGTAAATGTAACATAACATTTTGTTCTCCCATGCATTACGAGTTTGATGAGTAGCACCCCCTTGTATCATTTTCTAAATTATTCCAAGTGCATACTTTCTCCTTGAAGATCTATATATCAGGAAGAGCTCAGAATGAATTTATTTTCAATTATGTATGATTTCGTTTGAATAAGCACAGCTTTTTTTGGCATGTGAAGAGCAAAATCATTGTGGTTGCTAAAAGTTTCAGAATCCTCTTTAAGAAACTGGAGAGCACAATTGTGCTGTAAAATTCAATTGTTCAACTGTGCAAATTACACCCCAGACAGGTCCTATTTATTTTATGGATCCTATTTATTACTGTTCATTTGAGCTTTGTGTATTTTACATTTCTGGCAGCACATACATCTAAACAGATAGACGGCAGTGATTGTATTGGGCCAAAGGGGTTTTTATCACTCCCTAAGGTGAACGGTTTACCCAGGAAAATTGTGTCTCCACCTCATTTAAAGTAAACCCTGAGGAAAATCCAAACAAATGGGGCATGATATGTTTATCTCTTGAGTTTTAAAATTACCCTCAGAAGCCAGATTCCCAGTATGCAAGGTGTCACCGTGCTTCCAAAAGGAGATACAGGGCTTCAGCACAGTCAGACTTTCATTGCAAAGCACCATGTGAAATGACTTGACTTATACTGGGAACATGATGAAGAAATACCCTTTGTGCAAGACGAATATTTACTCTGACTTAGCTAGCAAGGTGTAAGCTTGAAACAGAGAAGGTTATTTCTCAGATGACGTTGAAATTGCCTAAGTTGCTCACATATGATTTCTGTCCCTACCAATCTGAGGAACTGAGACAGCAAGCTGTTACACAGAAATAAACAGTCCAAGGACATATTTGCTATCCAGAAAATACGTAAATATGAACTGAACCTTGTGTTCAGGTAAGTGTTCTAGTGGGCATGTTTAAGGTTGCAAAGAGAGAAACAGAGATATAAAGTCTATGTTAAATGCACACGTATCTGTATACGTCAACATCAACTCGCATGCATGAGGGCAGCACCAGAGCAGAAGATATCTGCATCAACTTGTGAAACTAGTCACCTTACAAAATGACCAAGACATACCCAACCCTCTGATTACTTGAGGACAGTAATCAAGAAACATACTACACAAAATTACTTTTCCTTTACATCTATTGTCTAATAATATGCAGTATCACACATTATCTTAATAAAAAAACCCCATTTTCTGTTCACTCCTTGGCACCAACTGTTACACTTCAGGTTTATTTTGTAACAATTGCAGCTATTTGTCTTTACAGTTCTTTCTTCGGCTGAACTGCATTTAAAAATATCCTGGACCTCCAGCAATACGCCAGTAATTTCCTGAAATATCTAAAACTTCTAATAATTTTTGCAAATTATGGAATGAAGTATTAATGCTGTGAAATGGCCAGTTTCCATATGATTAAATATATATGCCTGAAGTAGTGATTCATCAACAAGTTTATATCCTGACAACATTTCAGTATGCAAAACATATGACACTTATTAAGCACAGAATTCACATTTGCTTAATATTTGCTCTTTGTGGGAGGTTTCCTGTCTGCTCTCAGACCATAACACACTCTGCATTTCACACAGACAACGCTGAAAGAAAGCCTTAAGCACAAAGTCCACAGAAGAGGAAACTGTCACACTTCTCATTTGGTTTTCCTTAAGAAAATATTTCAGTAACTAACAACAACAGGTTCTAGTATTTTTATTTCCTTTGAACAGATGTGCTATGAATATCCAGAGCAGAATATAGAAAGTGAGCAGGAAAAACCGAAAAGCTATGCAATCTTAAATTTGTAATAATATTACTGGTTTATAAATCTGAAACAGTCAATCAAACAGATGAACCAAGACAGAAGTACTTACAGATGGGACAGGGATACCAGGTCATTGAAAGAACCTTCGGGAACACTGGAAATATCGTTTCCATGGAGTGTCCTAGAAGAGGGGAGAAGCAGGAAGGTATCAAACCACAGTATTTTAGCTGCTCCCCACAAGTGAAGGAATTGGTGCTTAAGAAAGATATTTAATTTTATTTCTTTGAGAGTTTCTATGAGCTTCACAACTCACAAGCTTCCATGCTTTATTACTTCTACTTCTAGATGTTGACACTGAAAATAATTATACAATCGGTTGTTGGTGACTAATGCTTTAAATTAAAAAGGTGACATACTATTTATGCTATGAAAAGTATATTGATGACAAGCAGACCCTCACATACAGACCGGTATGCTTTTATAGAATCCCATTAGATGGAAACATGGAAAAAACAGACAAGGGAAAATAGGAACTGCGGAAGTTAAATTAAATATTGACTTCAGAGAGAGCCTAGGAGAGAGCAAGGGTCCATGAGGGCAAATATATCTGCACTTTCACATTCTAGTTTCCCATTCTTACAGTAGGAAATACCTCTTTTTGTGGTATTTTAAAAATCCATTTGACAAATATAATTATGGTATCAAGGAAAACACTTGAAATTAGTTGGTTTAGGACATTATATATTCACCCTGCACAAAGAAACTACCATTTTTCTGGCAGGGATTTCAGGATTCTTGTGAAAGGGTTCCTCACAGTTTGCAGAACAATTTAAGCAGCCACTTTATCTCTTTTCTAAGAAATACATTTATGTGTGTGTTACATAGGCAAGCATAAATGGAAAGATTTTTCTTGCAGCTTGTAGAGTGCAACACTTGTATGGAAAGAGTAAAAATCATTATTTGTGATTACTTTCCGTTTTCATTGCAATTGCAACTGAAGGCCCTGCTACAAAGTCACAACTAGAGGTTGTGACAGACAGGGAGGAAGAGCACTTCTTGCAGTGCCAAGGCCATGATCAGACAGGAAAACATGCAGCAACAAAAGAGTGGGCAGGAGGGCACAGGATGCTAGGGGTGACAACTGCATAAAAACCATCCAGAAAATGCACCACAGAAGATACACAATCACGTGAGATTTTATTTTATAAATAAATAAAATCAGCTATCCAGTTGATGCACCCTCTGCCTCACTAGATAATTAGCTGGCAAAAAATAGCATAGAGAAAAATATTTATAGTTTATTGTAACTTTTCTAGTTTGCATGTCACTGAATATCAGCTTACTACTTTATAGTAACAGATAGAAAGAGCTCATGGGAGGCCAATAGGAGCTGGATCTCATTAGCAGTTTCTTAAAAAAAAGTTGGTAGAAAACTTGCAAGGAAAAGGGCATCAATATTTTAAAATTATATTTTCTTTTGCACTTCTCCCCTGAGCTCATTCAGTTATAGCAAACTGCTGTACTGTTTATGTCCTCTTTCCCAGGTCCAGGAATTACCGTCAGTGCTCCAGACATGGCAGAGGAAGGTGGAA